TTCAATTTTGTCAAATAAATTTAAGAAAAAGGCACAGCCAATTTTGTTTCAGTAATTGAAGTTTGTCAGCAAGTCTACAGATGTACAGTTGTCTTCTGAGATCATGTCGCACATGGACGGTGTCAGATCTCTTAATCACCGCTGCAATACGAGCGCCCATAACGTCCAACCGCGACATGTTGATTGAAGACGAGTGTACGTATGTACTTACCCAAAACAAAAACATTATTGAAATAGCGAATCACTATCGGTCTCAATAGTAAACGCTTCCACAGTTGAAAGGAGATTAAACTAATGATAGTATGATTCAAACTTGATTGGACATTGAGCAAATCAAGCCATCAATGTGATTCTTAAGCTATTGCATTTCTGGTTGAATCATATACAAAACAGAATTATACTGAAAACATCAAATACAGAATGATGCTTCTTCACCAAGTGAGTGCAGTTTTGCAAAATTTTGATTGGGCTAAATTAATCCTCCTCCCTAGACGTTACTATACAACTGTTCGAGACACTCATATTACTCATCCAACAAATAATTTGATGGAATATTCTAGTTTAACATCATCTATTTGTCATTCCTCTACAAAAAAGAAACCAGTCTGTTCGTAATTTCTTATATGCCGCCATTTTCTTGTAACAGCATGTTAATTGACAATATTTAATAACGTACCTGAGATGATAATATGGAAATAAGGCAACATCGAGCAATCAAGGCAATTAATTCCACCTTTCCTGATGGCGTTCTCACTAAACTTATTCTACTTTATTTGTTTTGTCTGAGAATATCTCGAGGAATATAGATATTAACGTCGTTCGAGCTATGTTTTATCCCTGCTTTCTCACCATGTTTGATACAAGTTTATAATTAATATTATGGTTATATCACGAAGTGCGAAAATTATTGTTTATTTCAAGTAGGTAACAGTATAATTTTAAGATACAGGCGAACGATAAAATGAATCTAGCACTTCATATTCAACGAGTAGTATTGTGCACATAATTTTCAGTATCAAACATGTGATGAATGATATATGCCACAATCTATTTTCCCAATTGAAATTCCATACTATATGAAAAGTAGATAGATATTCAGGAAATGGAAGATTTTTTGTAAACAGCACTATGAGCTTGTACTATACTTGTACAAAAAATATTCTGGCAAGAAAAAGAGTCAATATTTTTTAAACTAAAAATTTGAAAATCTATGGTAAAAGTCCATGATATCTCAAAGTGGAGTGAATAGATTCATAAACAAGACACACAAAGTCATCTCCACAAAATTTATTGACTGAATAATCAGTATCTGTACATGTTTCGGACTATGAATAGTCCAACATCAGCAGCATATTTTAATTGACAAGTCCATATTTATGTTGTCAACATATCTTCCTCGTTCTTTTCTGAGTTGCCTTGCTGGTATTGGAGCTCTGGAAGAGAAGGCGGTATGGAGGGTACTAACATCCGCGAAGCTGTGTACTGAACATGAAGTTGCTTCCAACAAATCGTTGATATGGTGTAGAAATAGTGATGGTACTAGAACTGATCCTTGCGGAACACCAGCATTTATGATAGAAGAGTCAGATGAAACTCTGTCGACCACTACATGAAGAGACCTGTTTGAGAGAAAACTAGCTAGCAGAGAATATAGCTGGGGAGGCAAGCCATAAGATGGAAGCTTGGCGAGAAATTCGTGGTGCCAGACTCGATCGAATTCCTTGAAGATATCAAGTGCCACGGCTAAGGTTTTACCATATTTTTCAATAGATTGTTTGAAGTTTAGCATTTTACTCGGCATTTTAATTGACCGGAAAATCTCATTGAACAAGCTGTAGAAGGAATGTTTGTCTACTGAGGGAATTAAAAGCATTATTTGATATTTTTTTTCGTATCTTTTATAATAATTATGCACACGATCTAAAGCAAAGAGGTATGTATCTCTTTCGAAGTATAGGTCTCGGTATACCGTGGAGTACAAAGTCCTTTGATGTTTTATATTTCCAAAACTTTCCGTTCGATGAAGCGAAGTGCATTTTTATCGAAAACTTCATAAATTTTGAAGCTTCAAATTGTTTTTGGAGTAAACTGCGAAAATAAGTCGACCGAACTCTAGATGAACGAGGAATGTAATAAGGTGGGGCTAATTTGGCAAGTTGGCCGTGGAAGTGATTGAAGGACTTTCCCGAAACCACGATAAGCCCGAATGAGTACGGGGTAATTTTGATTAATAACTGAAAGTTCCTCAAAGGTATTTCGTAATTTCGACTCCACTTTTTGCGAGCATATCGGGAGAATAAGAACATCAAAAAGCTGTTATAACTTTCTTCGGGAAAATATTGGTTCAGAAAGTGAATTGATGCTTTTTATGCTAATGCATAAATCCGAAACAAATTGTTTTCATTCCCTGAGGAGGAAAGGGAAAATGTGATCTTATCCTGATGGATGAAATTTTCCTCTTTTCCCTTTCCGAAACGATGCGCACAAGATTATTTTAGGAAAGAGAATCCATTAGGGCGTATATATACTCACATCGATGTTTGACTCTTATTCATCCTTTGCGAATTCAAAAGGAATTGATGTTTCCACTGATATTCCATAATTTGTTCCTACATAAAGCAATTGGAGATAATTTCATTGAAAGTAGTTTTTATTTCATAGACCTATGAGATCTATTATTGAAACAATTATTGTGAAGTCTTTGTATTCTGAATCATACTTGTTTTTCGCTCATATCAAATGTTCTAACATCTGCTTACGATTCAGTATGTCGAGTAAACAAGCAACGTGTACAGATGTTTTAATTGTTCCGTTGATATTTCATCAAAGCAATTAGCGGCAATGAGATAATAACTTTTGAAATTTTGAATAGGTGAATCATGAACAAATATCTCGATATGTCGACTTATTGACACGTGAAGAAGAATTATTCCGTCGACTTCGTATTATAACAAGTTTGAAATGTTCATAAAATTGTTTTCATCTCTTGGAACGCACGAAAGGAAATTTCAATAATGTATTGAAGAAGATCGTGTTTTGGTAAAGTGTTGTTAGACATATTACAAGGTTGACAACAAAAGGATGTGCTGACTAGGCCTGTCGAGTTCGTTTGAGTCGTATTGCTAGTGATGTAATAATAGCAGATAATTCTGAGGAACATTTCTCGTGGAAATATCTATAGAAAAGTGGAAGGTCGCCGACTTTTCTACGGTGTTTTAACGAAGTCAAAGAGTAAAAGTATCACTGAAAGTGGCATCACACACCAGGCGGATGACACTTCTCTGATGGATGGAATTTAAAAGCATCAGCCTATGTTTCGGTGCTGAACCCCATATGTGAGTACAGTACCTGTATATTTGCCTTGTTGATCATGGAAAGCTCTTGGGGTGTCAATTATTAGATTTTCGCACGGAATAAAAATTCTAGTGTTTGTGAAGCAGCTCTCGCGATGGATCAGACATTATTTTTCCATAGGTGATTTTTTGTTTTAGTTTCAGAATGAATTCAAAAATATCTTCATCGTAGGAGAAACATAGTTGACGGAGGAATTTTGCAACCAACTCGTATATAAGTCTCGAAGATTGATGCACTTGCTTAGCTAGCACGTTGAAATCAATTGCCCTCCGAGGAACTATTTTCATTTCCATGTTGATAAAAACCCTCATCATACTAGTTGGTTAAGTCACATTGTAGTTCAAAACTAAAAGATTGTAGGAGTTCACTGGCACAAAATATGGCTATCAATGGCACTGGTTTACGAGGAAAAGTCAAATTTGTATAGCACCAACTTGAGCATCATCAATAGATCGATCTATACTCCATCATTGCATGAAGACTGTTTTTTTGTTCTGCATCCTGCTTTCATTGAACTGTATATATGTAAGTACTCTACTTAGAGATGATTTGATTTCTGTCTGCTGAGGTTTTCAACTTTTTTATGTGAAAATTAATTGTGATTGATATTATCAACTGTTATTTTACTATTACTATTGGGATAAATGTGAAATTTATATTCATCTTCACAAAAACTTGACTTTCTCATCATATATCTAATCAATCAATATCAGCGACTGATGGAATTATTGAATGCACGAGTATGTCACAAAACAGCAACATACGAATTTGATGAAGGTGATCATCGATTAGTCACCAAAATCCCCTTACTAAATATGATTCGCCAACATGACAAATAACTGATCATATAATCATTGTAGATGATTGTATTCGACTTCATGCAGGTATATACACTTTTCTACGGCTATTACACAAACTTGTTCTTGTTTTATTGTGTTCGGTACATCAACGACTTACAGTTGTGCGCATAAACAAGTCGTACAAGCTTTGTATGGTGTAAACCTGCCTATGATGTTCCAGATTTCATTAAAAAGTAGTACACGCACACATCTGCGTGTTACTGACAAAAATAGTTCGAAATTTGACACTACTTGTCAAAGTCGATAAGAAGATTGATCAAGATTGACAAGCCTGACTCACAATAGCCAGTAACTGCTGTACGACTTGTTTATACACACAACTGTACTTTGTCATCAATTTTATTTCCGTGTCTGATATCACAATGACACCATTGTATTATTATGTCAGAAAAATCTCATCGCCCAATGAATGTCAAATTCCAAGCAATGACAGCTCTTTCTTATAGATGAGCATTACTTGACAAGACGAAGAAATCGAAAATGTCGCTGTTATCTATTATAGCCGTAGAAAAATTATAGTGTATAACTTGCACGGAATGCTAATTGCCTACTGGAATGATTGCAGCATTCGCCTATGGCTCATCCTGAAAACTTCATTCTCGTAGGAAATCACTATCATTCCGTGCTCGTTAAACAATACACTAATATTATATATCCGAATAGCTGAATAATATTTCTACACTTCTGTAGTTTGTCAGTGAGAAACAAAAATAACCTTCACAAACTTCTTCCTCACCGTCACAGACCTATTGAAAATGTCAATAACAAGATATAAAGAGAACTCACCGTTATTGGAATATCATGATGGTCGCAAGTATCCAATCGTCTCCTGAACCTCAACACTGTATGTGTGTTGTTCTCGTATCCAAGGAGAAGTTGATAATCCTGACTTGGATCCACTTCCGGTTCTCTGTCTATTGCACTTCCGGGCGAATCCTTCACATGTCGGTCCTGTAACAAAAGAAAGAAGATGAAGTTTGTAAATAGAAATTTGATGGCAGGGAGTCGTTTTGCTGTCATGGTCACAATGTTGGGGAGAATCTGAAGAGTTTTCTGTGGAGTTTATATAGACCTTACGTGCTTCAGGAAAGTAGGCATGGGCTTTATCATAGTACACTTGGAGTTGAATAATCTGTCATTTCCATTCGATCAGTTTTATGGAACACCCGTTTGATTAGCTATTGGGAATGATAATATACAGGGTGTCACAACGGAAAACTGTAGATTCCTCATGAAAAAGGAAACATTTTTTCCTTTTCGAAATTTTTCTCTGGGCTTCCGTTTTCAAGATACGGGGCGTCAAAATAATACAAAAAATCTGTTTTTTGCTACTATCTTAGGAACCGTTTGAGCTACGGAGTTAAGCCTCCGTACACACTTCATCATCAATAATGACTTCTTTTAGGGCTCTTGATCAATTTCCTTGGACATGTCAGTGGAAGAGAATTCAACGCCTCGTAAGGGTTCAAACCCCCAAACATTTATGCCACTGGATGAATTGTAATTTTCGAAGTAGATTCTGATGCGCCAATATCTTTCAAACAAAAAACGTCCTCTTGTCTCAATGCTCTGAAGTGAATAGTTTCTGCGAAACATGGCTCTTTATGAATAAGAACATACAATATCCTGATGGTATCTCCAAAAATCGTCTATGAATCCAATGAAAATAAACACCTCAGAACTGTCTAAGGATATGTTCAATCAAATGTCAGGCTCTTGAGTATGCTGGTCTCGATGCTGGTAAATCAATGTCTTGTGGTCCGATGATAGTAGGTTCACGAATTGTGGAGTTTTTAATAAGCACAACACTCATCATTGGGCTGTGGCAAACCCTCACGAAGTGGCAGAGAGACGTATGGTTTTCAAATTGTCAAGTTTATTGAGTTTTGTAAAGTGTGTAAACGGAAGCCTGGAGAAAAAATTTGAAGAGGAACGAAATGTTTCTTTTATTATGAGGAATCTACAGTTTTCCGTTATGACACTTATTTGTTAACACCCTGTATAATGGACGAAGGTTGAATTAACTTTGTAGTATTATATGATACAGAATCGTTCTTCGGATTCAGAAATTCTGAGTTCTCATTCGTGAATCCTCGCCTCACTACGAAATTGGAATTAATTCATGCAATTGAGATATTTGAGTGCGCGCCACTGAAGATAGATTTCAAGAACAAGACCTCATTTTACCCTTCTGTTAATTAAGCTCATTGAGATCGGACATCAATCCACTGGCCGAAAAGAACAAAAAAAGAGAAAAAATAAATTTGAACAGGTCCGTGAGCTTGCAGGAACAATTAATTACAGCTCTTGCGGCGTCCTCCATATGGCGTTGATGAGTCGAGAGCCTTTTTGCCATCACAGTTGGCATACTTCTCACAGACACGTATTTAAGACATGCGTCTTCATTGCTCCTCCTGCACAAATCGTTACTCTACACCGCATAAACCACATTTGTTTTTATATAACCCTTCGTCAGAGTGCTCAGCAAAAAAACACTATTATTGTTTATTTCCCTACAGTTGATGGTATTTTCTCTACTCGATTCTTTATCATAATTTGAGTATTATATCGATATAGGCTGCGATCAGATGATTTTCTCAATGAAATTTCCTGTGTTAGAATCCTCCAGCGTACATACGTCTAATGTATGTACGCTGAATCCTCGCAGATATATTTTACTCAATGAAAGTCAGTGACACATGGTTTGCAAAGATGTTGAAGTAGGAAAGTAGATTTTACGAAAATATATATTTTTTTTCATGTTCTGGTTCCGACGAAAAGGGATATCCTGTAATATTCAGAGAACATCGTGAGAACCAAGGTAAATGAGGTAGGAGTTGGTGTTCTTCTTGAATTTCTGAAGGTTATATGCCTCGGAGAACACCTCCCATGGCAATGTGAGCCTCGCTGTTCGTTGGATTAACGAGTCTTTAAAAAGAGATGTTCTGCAGGTCTCCAAAGAGACCACGAAGGAGTGCGAAGCCTCAACTCGACGGGTTAATCTCGCGGGGACTGCCAAGGAAAGAACAATTGTTGATATTTCAGAAGAGCATCGTCCATAAAAAATCTATAAAATAGAGCCAGATCGACAACTTTTCTACGGTGTCCCAGAGAAGTGAGTCAGTTTGTGAGCGAGGCATCACCCACCAGACGAATTGCCCTTTTTTGGACAGAATCCAACAGTTTTAGGGAACGTTTGGGTGCTGCACTCCAAATATGGGAACAGTATTCCAAAACAGGTCGGATCTGTGCCTTATAGATCATAAGCAGCTGACTGGAAGTGAAATAGCCCTTGGCACGAAACAGAAAACCAAGTTTTTGGGATGCACTTTCAGCAATTGATCTCACGTGATTTTCTCAAGAAAGGTTATTGCTGATAGTGATCCCAAACATCGAAATAAATGTCTTCAAATGTATGGTTACTCCTGACAAGCTGTTGTTGCGCACAGTGAGATCGGCTTTTTAGAGAAAAGGCATGCTTGTGTATTGTTTGCATTGAAATCTACCAAGTTATTGGATCCCCAGTCGAGAATTGATGCCAAGTCCATATTTATGTTGTCAACATATCTCCCTCGTTCGTTACTGATTTGCCTGGCTGGAATTGGAGCCCTGGAAGAGAAGGCGGTATGTATGTTTTCGAGACATCAAAATAGAGAAAATATCCTCAGAATACTACCTCTATATTTTTGTCAGTTAACACTCCTCATGCAGTGTCCAATCAACAAACATTTTGGATTCAAGCTTACCTCGAGCTTACCATTTTTTCGAAATCAGGGACTTACTAAGAAGCTGATTGTCCACTCCACCTCCTTGATTAACTTAAAAATAGTGTATTCAACACTGAGTGTATCCAAATATGTCAATCTTCAACTGAAGATGTTTCCTCGGATCCTTCAGAATAAAAGAATATCAAAATCCAATAATTGCGACGGGGGATATTGAGTCCGATGTGGAGAATGAGAGGTACCGAATCTATAGGAACTTCTCATTCACCACCCTTGAGGAAAATACAGAATTACAAGCCCGATGTAGTCCTCCTCGACCATCAAACCAAAGCGATGTTTGTGATCGAGTTTTCGGCGCCAGCCGAACTTAACATCGTTTTGAAGAAGGAGGATAAACGAAACAAATATCGAGATCTTCTCTTCGAACTCCGCAGGCTCTATCCAGACGATTCTGTGGAACTGAGCATCCTGATAATCGGCTCGCTAGGTGACATACGACATACCCTGCTCTCGGGAATCCAGAAAAATCCAGCATGTCGTGACTAAGGCACACATCCTGGCTGATTGAATGCAGAGGGTCGTCATACTTGGATCATTGCGTTCAGTCAGGGCAGACGGTTTTTGGTGCTAAGGATTATTCACCCCACAGGCTTTGGGGAGTAGTCACAGGAATTTATCCAGACCGACTAGGCCAGCGTAGCCTCATGGTTGAAGCGTCAGTATTCTATCCACGTTGGATTGCCGGTAGGTGGGTTCGATTCCGACCAAGACCGCAGAAATTTTTCTGGGGGCTTGAGAAAGTGTGTGGGATCACACGTTGAATGGTAAGACACCCGTCATTCCTTGCTCGCACAAGTTTCTTGAAGACCTTTGAGGGTTGCTCGTAAGGGGGCAACCAAATGATGAATGATGGATGAGAACAAGAACAAGATTCTGCGTGGCGTCGGAGGCCGCAGAGTTGCAGAACTTCCACAGAAGATTTCTTTTTGGCTCATTTGCCACAAACAGAGCCCGTTTCGGAAACGTTAACATGAATCGAACATATCACTTCCATTTTCTTATATAAACAAATATTTTGATATAGCGAAGCAATCGAAACTTCTCAAAACCCTTCAATATTAGCAATTGATTGTATTTTCCGTTTTAAACTGATATCAACAAAGATTATATTGTTCCTTGTATTCCACAAATGAATATTTGGCTCGTTCTGGATATTCCTTCGAAAAAACGCATTTTCGGTATACTTGCGCAAGTCCTACGAATATCTTATTTCTACCCTGTTCCAGTGTGTTTCACTCATCCGAAAACCCCAGTTGTCATCCACTTAAGTCGAGTGATTTCTAGGGTGAAGTACGCCCTTCGCTATTTTGTAACCTCAACTTCCTGAAAACGCAATTAGTGAGTCTGTGATGATAATATAGGCAGGATTAAGGATATGTTGGAAACTAGACGAGCGAAAGTGAAACTGCTGAGATGAAATCTAGTTGTGACACTTATGATGATTTACTTTTCAAGTTAGTATCACAAGTGGAAGGTTGGGAGAAATTAGAATAATTTGAGGGGTTGTTGACAGAGAAAAGAAAACAGCTGTTTATTCGAGCGATGGAGGTATGTATTACGTACAGAGTGACTGTTCATATTTTACTCAATAAATATTTCAGTCAATGTTGGTCTTACAAAAACGTTTGAATGAGCAAAAATTTGGCTTTTTTATGGTGATGCAGAATTCAGTACTAGCATCGTAGAATTTTTGATGAGCTGTTTTATTCATGTAACTAATCGGTAGAGCTCTTTCTCCTGATTCAATATATATACTATTTTGGGGTAATCTTTGTCACTTTTGAAAAAGTAAAGGTTTTTTTCGTTCGAATCTGAGGTACCTATGAGCTGTAGACACAAGGCTGCGATTTCTGGGGTTCTACGGCTGCCAAAAACACTTTTTGAAAACTGACTTCTATGAAGTATATAAGTACACTCAATTGAGATCAAGAAAGTGAGCTCTCGAGAGAGCTCTACCGATTAGGAAAATAAAATTCAGTTTATGTAAAGTTTGCAGGTTTACAATACTGTTGTGCATTTTCTAGTACTGAATTCTAAATACCCATAAAAACAGTTCATATTTGCCCATTCAAACCAATATTAACTGAGAAAGTTATTGAGTAAAATATGAACATTCACACTGTATATATATAACAAACTCGGTTGTATAAGTGAATGTTTCAATTCATCAAGAGTTATTCTACATGACTCTAATCAATAGATTTCTACTAATAATGTCCTGATACGCTTGTTTAATAATTCAAGTCGTATCGATCATTAATATTTTATTGTCTATTCTAATTCAGTTGGAACGCCTGATATAAGAATTGTCCG